ACCGGAGGCCTGCTCTCAGCTCTCAGAAGGCAGAACCCCTGCTCTGGAGGGGAGGGCTCTCCACCTACGTCTGCTCCAATGTGTCCCCTCCCCACATCCGGCCCAGGGCAGGTCAGAGCCAAGGGGACAGTGGTAAAGCTCCCTAAGGAATCAATGAGCATCCTCACATGCCGATGATAGCTACCATGCTGACCCAGGAGAGCATGTCCCAGAAAGCTCTGGATGGCGGGGGCTAATGCAGTCTTTGTGGAGAATTTGTGAGTCTAGGTTTCCTTTTCTTTCTCTTTTTAAAAAAATATGTACTTTATTGATTTTTAGAGAGAAAAGGAGAGGGAGAGAGAGAGAGAGGAACATCAATGATGAGAGAGAATCACTGATTGGTTGCCTCCTGCACACCAATCCACTGGGGATCAAGCCTGCAACCCGCATATGTCCTTGAGTGGAATCAAACCTGGGACCCTTCAGTCCACAAGCTGATGCTCTATCCACTGAGTCAAGCCAAACAGGGCTAGGTTTCCTTTTCTTATGACAGGATACCAGGTGAGTGGCTTTCTCTCCATGGGACTCAGTTTCCCACTTAAAAAATGAGTTTTATTGATTTCTGAGAGGAAGGGAGGGAGAAACATCAATGGTGAAAGAGAATCATTGATGGCTGCTTCCTGCACACTCCCTCTTGGGAATGGAGCCCACAACCCGGGCATGTGCCCTGACTGGGAATTGAACTGAGACTTCCTGGTTCATAGGTCGACACTCAATCACTGAGTCACACCAGTCAGGTGAAATTTTCCAATTTATAAGTTGAGCAGGTTGTAGCAAATCATCTCAGATGGTGATTACTATTTTGAAATCTCTTGACAAAAAAGGGGGGGGGTGGGAGGGGAGAAAAGCAATAATAATAATTAAAATAGTAATAATAATAATAATAAGAAGAAGAAGAGGAGGAGGAGGAGGAGAAGGAGGAAAAGAAGGAAGAAGGAAAAGGAGGAGGAGAAAGAAGAAAAGGAGGAGGAGGAAGAGGAGGAGGAGAAGGAGGAGGAGGAGGAGGAGGAGGAGGAGGTCTCTTGATCTGTTTGTGGCCCATCACACTGTCCTGGGGACTTGCTGGCTTTGGAAACCCTTGGAGGACCGGTTTGGCATCCAGGCTCAGAACCCAGGGCTGGCCTCTGGACTTGTCATCTCAGTATGTGTCACTCTGTGTGTTTTCCTGATGTGGCCAGGACTGGAAGCTCCACCGTCAGCATGTGTTGTCATTGGAGTAGAGATGAAGGGAAGGTATTGGGATATATGTGACACTGTCCGGAAATGTGTGACATGCCAGTCCTGTTTTGTAAGGATACTTGGACACAGGATATAAATGTGGTATTTGTTTGTTCATTTGGGCTTCCTATTACCATAAAAAAAATGAGGATTAAAGATATATAATGTCTCCTCTCCTTTATTTTAGTGTCGAAAAGATCAGCAATGAGCCCAGCCAACGTGGCTCAGTGGTTGAGCATCAACCAATGAACTAGGAGGTCATGGTTCGATTCCCATTCAGGGCACATGCCTGGGATTTCTGATTTGATCCCCAGTAGGGGGCATGCAGGGGGCAGCTGATCAATTGTTCTCTCTCATCATTGATGTTTCACTCTCCCTCTCCTTCCTCTCTAAAAATAGCTAAAAATGTATTAAAAAAGAAGAAATATGAAAATAATTTAAATAAGGTCAGCAGTAGGAGATTGAGAAGATTGTCTTGGACCAGAAGCTCCCAGGGAGCTTTTCAGTCCAGAGCACATCTTCATGACTGTAAAGTGATAAATGGCTGAGCCTTACTCTGCATGTCAACCTGGTAGAAAGAAGATGGCAGCCAGGTCCTATGAGGGACTTGACCCATCTCTTCCTTTCCAACTGTGATGGAGTGAATGGTGTCCCCCAGAAGAGGTGTCCACATCCTAATCCCTAGGGATGGGACCTTTTTTGGAAATCAGGTCTTTGCAGGTGTTGCCAAGATGATATGAGATCCTACAGGAGTGTGTGCATGTGCGTGTGTGTGTGTGGCAGGGTGGGGGGCTAGTGAAACATGACTGGTGTCCTTAGAAGAGAAGAGACACCCAGAGAGGGAGAAGGACAAGTAAAGACACAGATGCATAGAGAGAAGGTCATGTGACAGTGGAGCAGAGACAAGTGATGTGGCCATGAGCCAAGGACTGCCGGCCCACTAGCAGAAGCTGGGAGAGACAGGAAGGTCCCGTCCCTTAAGCACGTCCCTGCCTACTCCTTGATTTCAGACTTCTGGCTTCCAGAATTATGACAGGATAAATGTTTGTTGTTTGAAACCCCCCAGTTTGTGGAACAGTCGCCCCCAAAAATTCCTCCATGGGCCTTCCCCAGGCTACCAGGACAAACCCTGGCTCACAGGGCATCATTGGGTGGTGAAGACAGGGTCAGCTTTGTGGAGGGATGAGTGTTGTAGTGTTGCTCCAAGCCATTTGGTTAAGTACCATTTCCCTCCAATGTCATATTTGATAGTGTGAATCCATGGAAAAGAATCCACAGACACAAATGAATGATTCTTTTGGGGGGAGCAAAATATCTCTCCATCAGGTGCTATCTTGCTATGGTATTTGGCTCAATCGAGACTTAACTTAGCTTCATGGTTCAAGGTGGACTCACACATCAATGAAGAAGCAAGGGCTCTTTGTTATTTGTTTGCTGTTTTTAGCTATTTGTCTTTTTTTTTTTTTTTTTTTTTTTTTTTTTTTTTAAGAAATATAGATTCTGGTGGTTGAGAGGGAAAACGGAGAAACTATTTTTCTCCTTTCCTGGCACCTTCCCTGGAAAATGCATCCTCTGGCACTGCCAAGTCTAAAAGGGTGGCGTGCGGAGTGGAAAAATAGGAATACGGGGAAATGAGATGCAGGAGTCTTGATGCTGTCACTGCAGTGGTCATTTGCAAGTCCCAGGTCAGAGCTGACTCTGTGACTCTGCTGGGTACAGGCCATAGATCACAGATGTCCCCTAACACAGGTGTTCAAAGACACCTGGTGAGTGAAGAAATGAATGGGTGAATGACCATGGAGCAAGTGAATGAGAGAAATAATAGTTTATCTTGCCATGGCTTTGGGTTAAAGAGGAAGTCTGATTGGAAGCCTTGGGTACTGCTTGGGGTGGGGTGTGGGGTATAAAATAGTGCAGGTGCTGTGGTAAACAGTTTGTCAGTTCTTCAAAAAATTAAACATAGCGTTACTGTATAATCTAGCAATTCCAACTCTGAGTATGTGCCCAAACGGGTTGAGAGTAGGAACTCAAACACATATTTGTACACCAGTGTTCACAACAGCATCACTCACAGTAGTCAAAAGGTGAAATCAAACCAAGTGGCCATTGATGGATGCATGGATGGACAAAACAGAGGCTATCCATGCCATAGAATGTCATTCATTCTTGAAAAGGAAGGAAATTCTACCCTAGCTGCTTTGGCTCAGTGGATAATAGAGCATTGGCCCACGGATTAAAGGGCCCTGGGTTGGTTCCAGTCAAGGGCATGTACCTTGGTTGCAGGCTCCTCCGCAGCCTGAGCCCTGGTTAGGGGTTCATTCGGGAGGCAACCAATTGATGTGTCTCTCTCACATTGATGTTTCAGTCTTTCCCCCTCTCTTCTGCTCTCTGTAAAAATCAATGGGACAAATATCCTCAGGTGAGGATTAACGGAAAAAAAAAAAAAAGGAAGGAAATTCTGATACATGTTCCTACATAGATCAGTGGTTCTCAACCTTTCTAATGCTGCTACCCTTTAATACATCCTCATGTTGTGGTGACCCCAACCATAAAATTATTTTTGTTGCTACTTCATAACTATAATTTTGCTACTGTTAATAAATCATAATGTAAATATGTGTTTTATAATGGTCTTAGGCTCTACAGCAGTGGTTCTCAACCTGTGGGTCGTGACCGCTAGCAGGGTCGCCTAAGACGATCGGAAAATACAGATATTTACATTATGATTCAATAACAGTAGCAAAATTACAGTTATGAAGTAGCAACGAAAATAATTTTATGGTTGGGGGTCACCACAACATGAGGAACTGTATTAAAGGGTCGTGGCATTAGGAAGGTTGAGAACCACTGACATAGATGAACCTCGAGGATATTGTGCTAAGTGAAATAAGCTAGTCACAAAAGGACAAATATGATTGAATTCTGTGAGGTTTCTGGAGCAGTCAAACTCATAGAGATAGAAAGTAGGGCGGTTGGTGCCAGGGGCTAGGGGAGGGTGTTGGGGAGTTAGTGTCTAGTGGGGACAGAGTTAGTTCAGTTTGGGAAAATGAAAAGTTCTGTGTGTGGATGGTGAGGATGTATGCACAGCAAAGTGAATATGCTTAATGACAGTGAACTGGTTAAAGTGATTAAGATGGTAATGTTTATATTGTTTATCTTTTAGCATAATAAAAAGAAGAGTTAGCCTGGCTGTGCGGCTCAGTGGTTGAGTGTCAACCTATGAACCAGGAGGTCACAGTTCGATTCCTGGTCAGGGCACATGCCCAGGTTGTGGGCTCCATCTCCAGTATGGGGCATGCAGGAGGCAGCTGATCAATGATTCTCTCTCATCGTTGATGTTTCTATCTCTCTCTCTTCCTTTCTCTGAAACAAATAAAAACATAATAATTTAAAAAAGAGGGAGTCTACCCATGTGTAAAGATCTTGGTGTTGGGCTTGATTTGCTGGCGTTGGATTGTTGTGATCATCTCTGGTCCCCCACCTGCCTCTGAGAACATATCAGGGAGGATGTTCAGGCCAGGCCTTTCTAGGTCAAGACAGAGGACTGCTGTGCTAACCTCTGCCAGGAGCGCATCTGGCCCCACAAGGTGGGTGAACTCCTTCAATATGATCAAACGGGTGGCCATACACTCAGGGGAACCCCGCCACTCTCAGAGCTTGGCCCAGCAGGTGAAGCAGACAAACACAACTTTCTTATGTTCCAGATAAGAATCCACCAAATAAATCACACCCGTTACCCAGACCAGGATTGTAGAAGCCTTTCATTTTTTTATACACAGAAATTTTGGTCTATTCTTTAATTAGGAAATTCAACTACAGACTTTAAATTAGTATGCATCTGTGGTGTTCCTCGTTAAGATATTTTTTTCATCTTTATAACAGGCAGATAAAAATGTAAAACATATTTAATAACTGAACACGGTTGACCAAGCCATTCCATAGAATATAATGTTTTATAGAGAGGGGCTCCCTGGTGACACAGGTCCCTCGGACTGAAGACAACAGAAGCCAGAGCAATGAGCCGAGGTCACAGCCCTCCCACTTTTCGGAACCACACACCCCACGGAAAGGCAACCTAGGACTAAACAATCGACATGTACAGTAGGCAACTTTGTACAGCAGCAGCGAGGGTGCTTTAAATATATATGGATCGTCAGTTCTACCAGTGTATCTACAACAGAATGAAAAGAAGCCCATGGGTGGAGCGCAATGGAGCTCATCTCCTTCAATGGAAACCTATCCAACTTGACTTCTTGGTTAAGAACACAGACCCTCACCGAATTGAGTTGCCCTTTTTGTGGTGGTCGAAACAAGGACATAGGGGACAATGTACACATGGGTGACATTCTTGATGTGCCCTTTGGAAGAAAGGGATGGCTTTAAGTTATCTGGAGCTGGCATTTGAAGTGGGATTTTCTTTTTGAACCGAAATTCCTTTGCCCAAGGTTTGACTACTCTTGCTCAGGGGTCACATGGTATCCATGCTCACAGCGCAGCCCGAGCGTGTTTTGGCCGCCAGCGCGGATGCTCACGGTGCAGGTGGAGGTAAGACAAGACCCGGCTGGTGGGGAGCGAGTGAGAGGTGTGATGGGCGGATCAGCCTTGACACCAGTCCAGCTGCTGCTCAACTGCTCAGTGTGCCCATCTGCACCTGCAGTTTCCATTCTGACCCTCTGTCCCTCAGTCCTCAGCCGCCCCCCAGTGGCTTAGCCCCAGGCCCCAGTGACAGGCCCACGGAGGAGCCGAGGTTGGACCCCGACTGTCTCCCTCTGGGGAACGTGAGGCAGGTGAATTCCAATGTTAAAAGGATCTCTGCTTTCTCTGCATTTCCCTCCCTGGCTAGGGTGCATTCGGGGAAACTGAGGCTTGGCACACTGGGTGCCCACACTGCAAGGAGAGGCTCCCGAGGGAACCATCTGGGGAGCCCAGGCCCAGCTCTCCGTGCCTGCAGATCAGGTGTTCGGCCCACGTGGTGAAGCTGACCTCCTCAGCCTTCCAGACTCACGAGAAAGTGCCACAGGTGGGATTAGAGCAACTGCCGCGAGGTGCCATGGCTCTCGGGGGCTTTGCCTCGGTATCTGGTTCCCTAATGTCACTGTAAGTGGCTGCAGACACAAATCCATGCTTTCAAGCGTTCTAGTTGTTGAACGAGAAGACTGGTTTCGGAAGAGTGCTAGGAGGGTGGTGACTGAGAACTTTCTGAGCAGTGTTATGGGCGCCTCGGCAACAATTACTTGGCATTTGCCAAAGCAAAGAATGGGAGTCCGGTGGGAGGTGCAGGAGGGCTGGGTCTGTATCGCAGCCACATCAGCTCCTCTTGGGTTTTGATGGTACCTCTTCTTCCACTGGTTTCTGTCTGACTCTTGTCACTCCTCCCCCCGTTCCGGGTCCCCACATGGGATCAGAGGCAGCACAGGGCAGAGTCTTGAACTTGGATTGTGGTCAGAGAAAGCCCAGCAGCCAGAATTCAGCACTTGGAATTGGAGTTGAAACCAAAGGAAACTGAAAGCAAAATGCCCCCTTCTACCTCCTGGGAGGAATCATCCTCATCAATACTTTGGTATTTTCCTTTTAAATAAAAATTCCACCAAAAGGGATTCTTTTTATTTTCCTCTGTAGGTAGGGAGTCTCAAAGTGCAAATGTTTCAACTGTAATTGCTTGCACCTTAACCTTGTCCATCTGCTGGGAATCGCGATGATGACCTTGCCCGGGACGGTGCCAGGAGGAGGGAGGAGAGGGGAGGAGTGTGAAGCAAGGCAAGCAACCAAAAAGAGATTCTTGCAGTCTAGTTCCCTGAACAAATCAACCTGTCACAATAAATAATGAAATTTCAAAAGAAGAACATCTGCTAAGAGCAATGGAAAGATCATGCCGATAAATAGTTCCTTATTCTTTAAATATGCACGTATATGCCTATACGCACACGCACGCACACACGCACAGACTGCATGTGTCCCGGGGATGGGGTGCTTGGCGGTTCGCATACGTTTGCAGGTGGCTCTCTCGGGCGGGCTTTCCTTTTGCATGAATCTGGTGATCTGGTGACTCTCCAGTAGGTGCAACAAAATTGCCAAGAAACTGAAACCAACCCTGTGCCCCACCGCACAGCCCGATGACAGAAATCTGGTGGCACTGTAGTATTCATTAAAAAAAAGCTTCGATAGAAAAAAGTGGGGAACATGGCTCTTCTTGTTCTCTAGTTTTTTCCTTTGCTCTCCTCCTCCTCCTCCTCCTCCTCCTCCTCCTCCTCCTCCTCCTCCTCCTCCTCCTCCTCTTCCTCCTCCTCCTCCATCTCCTTGGTCCGAGGTAAGAAGCCTTGAATCGTTTGGCTTCTTGCAAGTGCTGTGCGAGCGAGCAACGTGTGTCCAGCCGCCGTGGCTGTGCCCTCCTGCTGCAGGCCTGTGTGTCCCGCCGGGTGCCCGTGTGTGCAGGGTGGGTGCGCGTGCGGACAGCAGTTATGCTTAGAGGGACGTCTCCACGCTGTGGAGCGGGCTCCCGGGTCTGGAAGAAAACACTGACGAGGTAGCTGACTTGGTGCCATGCGTGGTCAGGTAGATGCCGCTGTCTATGGCGTTGTTGTTCTGGTTGGGGGAGGGGGGCGGGGGGGCCCGCAGGCGCTCCTCGTTCTCATCCACGTCCGTGTCATCTATGAGCGGGATGTTGTGGGTGTAGTCGTTGATCAGGAATTCGGGCGTTGCCATGAAGTTATGGATGGAAGTCTTGGATTCCGGTTTCTCCAGGCCTTCGTAGAGCGAGCTACGGAATGCTTTCACCACTCGGATCTGGAGGGACAGGGGCCCAAGGGATGGGGGAGGGGATAGTGGAGGGAGGGAGGGAGCAAGGAAGGAGGGGAGGAAAGAAGAAAGAAAGTAGACAGTCAATGGCAGGCCAGGTGCTGGCAAGTTCCACCCACATCCATGGCAGGGGATCTCCGTGTGACAAATGCTCATCCATTGGAATGGGCCGGGCCGGTTGGGGTGGCTCTGCCTGGCTGTGGTGAGGGTTTTAGTCTGGGTCTCGGTCTTGTCAACTGACCCACATGCAGGATGAGTGGCGGTGGCTTTCCCTAGGCTGCCCCGGGCAGATATTCTGGAAGCCCTGAGTGACAGAAGCACCGGGCTCTCGGCTGCTACCTCCTCTGGCTTAGGTGGCCCCTGGGGTCTCAGCCAGATCTGAACTCCAATTTGGTCGAACAGAAAGATGATGCAAAAAAGGGAGAACACTGGGAGACGGCTCCTCACCTTCTCTTACCAGAGAGTCTGTGGGTGCATTGCCAACCTTTCTTGAGTGGGTCTCCCTGCCTGGCTTCTCTAGGGATCTCTTCGCTTCCCTCCCAGCTCTCTTGGCCATTAGCCAGCACCCACCATGCCCACGCCATTCAGCCATCAGCGTCCCTGCTAAGTTCAGCAGCGTTTCTGTGTCTCTATCTTTTTTGATCCCTCAAGGATACTCAACACAGCCAACTGCTCCTCTTTCTGGAAATTTCCGGCTTCCCAGACATTGCCCATGCCTGGCCCCTCGTACCTCGCTGGCTACTCTGGCCCCATCTCATCCATTGCTCCTTCCTCTGGCCTGGCCCTGACCCTCCTCTCTGTCCACTACCCCCAGGTCCACCTCCTGGGGCATAGCTCTGGATATGGCTCTGGGACTCGCCTGACTATAACCAGGGCCTGTGGCCCAGGCCCTTCCTCAGAGCTCCAGCTCCAGAGCTTTCCAGGGCCCCATCTGGAAGCATCCAAGACTGAAAATGGCTCCACTTTAGAGTGGCACCTACTAAGTCTGTCCTGTCCAGATGTTTTGATCCACGCTGGCAGGTCCTTGTGTCTCTTTACAGCGCCTGGCCCACAGTTTGGTGCATCTGATCGGCTCATCTTTTCCTTAGCAGACCCTTCCATCCACACATCTCCTGCCACCAGAGGCTCTTTGTAATCAGCTGCTACCTGCCCCTCCAGCCTTTCCCATGATGTGTACCCCTCCTCCTCTTTACTCTCCAAGGCAACTTCTTTCTGTCCTTCTACTCTGACTTTTCTATGCCTCCTTCCCTGGCCACCCCGCTAGCATCTGCAGACCTCAGGTCAACATAACTCCCCACAGGGAAGAGCTTCCCACAATGCCCTGCTCTTCCTCCCCCCCGCCCCCACCCCTGGTGGCCCTTTGACCCTGCACCTCCTGCAAGATCCTGCTCCCAGAATTAGCCACTGGGTCTCTCTAACCCCTCCCTTCACTGGTGCTCCACCCTCTACACATGGGCTCAAGTCTCATCAGGCTTCCAAGCCAGAGTTTCTGCCTCTCTTTGCTCACTTTTTGGCCCGCAGCCTGGGCCTGAGCTGGCTGGCCTTGTGCTGGGATGGGGAAGCCAGTCCCTCCCTATGTAAGTGGGTGAGCACCTGTGAGTCCCAAAGTCATTCCAGCCCCAAGGTTCTAGGATTTGGTTTTCTTGGTTTAGATAAGGTGTTGGTGAATTGTGGCCTGAGGGCTAACGCTGGCCCTTGACCTGGATTTGTAAATAAAGTTTTATTGGTACACAGCCGGTGCTCTTCATGTATGCATTGCCTATGGCCGCCTTGGAGATCCGAGGGCATTGTGTAGGTGTGACTGAGACTTGGCCTGCCAAGCCCTTTTTTTTTAAGGAGAAGTTTGCTGTCCCTTTAGACCATGAATCACTGTGTTGACAACGAGTTCCTTTCAACCCTCAGCATCTGCCTGGCGCTCCTAGATCACTTTAAACTCATAGCCTCTCAAGTGCAAAACACGGAGCCAAAGAGATGCATAAAATGGGCATTTTCTACCTCCATATATGAAATCAGGTTAGGATTTTCCCTTAATTTGGTGAAGCCACGTCTTCTGGATTGCAGACGGCCGACTATCTGCACCCCAGTCCTTAATTCCCCCCAGAAATCGAGAATCACTTGCCAGGTTTAATAAAAAGAAACCAAATGTCCTCCTTTTGTAGCCATTGGAGATAGACTTCACTATTTGGGCCTTTTCTGCTGCAGAATTCAGGGGGAGCCACCATGATATCTGTGGTGGCTGAGTGCTGGTGTGGGATACCCATTTCAGTGGTGGGCCACACCCCTGAAGTCACAGAAATGAGAGCAAGTTGCTGTCAATGTTGCCCTTGACCATGGGGGACCCTTATGTGGTGGTTTTGCCAGCCAGGATCTCATGGCTCTGGCTACACCTTTTCCTCTTGCTGAGCCCGTCCCCTCACTCAGAGCTGGGTCACGTGATCAAGCCAGGTCCCTGCTCAGTGCACCTAGTTGAACTCCCAAGTCTTTGCCCAAGAAATGTAGTCAGCCCTCCCCTCCCAGCTTCTGCTGCTCTAAACCAGAAGTTTACTCCAGGGCGCTCCTCCTGGATGGAATCAGAGACTCACTTTGATGCCTGTCTTGTCCCTGGCTTTGGGGGAGGGATTGGGCCCGCCTATTGCCAGAACCTGGCACCCAGCAGGCGCTCAGTCACCAACAGGGGACTCCTCAAATGTTCCCGCTGCTGGGGGGCTTTAGCTGATCTGCAGGTTCCACTCCCCTGCATGCAAATCTCAGGCTATTAACAAAGGTTGGTGTTTGTCTTATGATGGGGAAGCTGCGGGGGAGGGGAGGGTTAGGCCACTCAGCACTGAAGGGCATGGTCCATTCCCAAATCACTGGCTTGGTGAGAAATGGCAAACATTTCTAAGAGATGCCACCCTGGAGGCCCAAGCTTGCACCCGGGTCCCAGGGATGTCCTCACAGCACATGGCCCTCACTGCCTCCTCAGGCTCCTCTCCTGGCCTGGGATGGTCCCAGGGTGGGGTCCTCAGGCCACCCCCTCCATTTCTACCACTCCTACAGGGACCTCACACCCTCAAGGCTGTCTGTTAATGCCGCCTACAGCGCCGCCTTGATGCAAAGCACACCCTGTACTGCCACCACCCGTGTCCGAGGCTGGGGCCCGCCCATTCCCAGTGCGCTAGACGTATGTGCCTGCTGCCCCTCACCTCTCCTTTTTTAAAAAAAATTTTTTTATTGATTATGATATCATATAATTGCCCTCACCTCTCCTTGGATGGCCAATGGCCATTGAAGAAGGCTGTGGAGCGCCCTCAGCTTGGCCCTGCCCACTCTGGCCCTCACCTAGCCTTCCCGTCTCAGGGCAGGGCTCCAGCTGGGCCTCAGCTGGACACCTGAGCCCAGTGCCCATCAGTGTATCCCATGGGCCCTGGTTCCCAACCTCTTCGTGGTAGAATGTCCCACTGCCAGGCCCTTGAGGCCTCTTGGGCTTCACCAGCCCTGAGGGCAGAGATTCCACCTGCCTGGACCCTCTGTCTTTTCCTGGGTGGCAGGCATCCCTGGGGGCCCTGCTCTCTGACTACTGAGTCAGGCCCTGCCCTCCCCCACCTGGCCCATGGGGACTTCAACCACCCCAGCAGGAGAATTTTAAAGAAAAAAGAGCCCAGAGGTTGAGCATCGACCTATGAACCAGGAGGTCACGGTTTGATTCCCGGTTCATGCACATGCCTGGGTTGTGGGCTCAATCCCCAGTGTGGGACATGCAGGAGGCAGCCAATCAATGATTTTCTCTCATCATTGGTGTTTCTCTCTCTCTCTCCCTCTCCCTTGCTCAATAAAAATATATTTAAAAAATAAACTAAAAGGAGACATGGAAACAGTCCCCATTAAGGATGAGTGACTCTGAGGGTGTGGCTGAGGCCTTTGAGAAGGTCAAGGAGGATCCAGCGTGCTGGGGTTGGGGGGCTCCCTGTGTCACCTCAACTGAGACACTATGTCCCCCCCCCCCCCCCCCCACAGCTCTGCTGCTTCCTTTACTGCCTGGCCCTGGACCCACTCAGGATGTTGCCCAACCACCTCCCTGTCCCTTATCTAGGTTACTCATTTGTCCCATCTTGAAAGAGACCCTCTCTTGGTGCCAAAGTCGCCTCTGGCTGCTGGCGATGGCTTGGAGACAGTTGTTGGAACTTACAGCCTCCATTTCACCCTGCTTTCTCCTGACTCCATTCCTTGGGAACTCCCTGCTGGGTACCCAGGGAACCCCTTACCACACCCCTGCTTCCCAGCCTGCCTTTAGCCTCCAGGTCCTCCTCTTTCCTCTCCCCATCCTCTCACGTCCAAGGGCCCAGGGCTCATCTTTGGGCTTTTTTGTATACACCAAGCATGCCAAACTCGAGGCCGGCGGGCCGCATGCCTCATTTAGGCATGCAGCCCATTGGCCTCGAGTTTGACATGCTTGGTCTACACCCATGCATTTCCTGCTACTCAGATCTGCCCTGCTCAGGACCAGTTCCCCACCAGCCCCTTCCACGGCTCTCTCCACACACTCATAGTTCCCCCTGCCTCTTCCACAGCAACCCACCCCCACGCCTCCTGCTTGGCTTTCCTGCTGCTGCCCGCGACCTCCAGAGTCTATTTTCAGCACGGTAGCCTGAGCAATCCTTTCCAAGAGAAACTGGAGCCTGCTACACCCACCACTGATCCAAACCCTTCAGTAGCTGTGCCTCCTGCGAAGGAAAACCGGAAGTCCTGGCAGAGCCTGTCTCAGCCCTTCTCCTCCTCTTCCTCTTTTGCTGTCTCCAGCCTAGGCCTCTTGGCTGTTCCCCAAGTGTGCCAGGCACACTCTTGCCCCAGGGCCTTTGCACACCCTCTGCCGGGAAGGCTCTTCTCCAGTGAGCCCCCCCAGCTCCCCTTCACCTCTGTCCCTCTTTAAGAGGTGCTTCCCTCAGCACCCCTGCACCACTTCTGATCCATTTTCTCCCCAACAGGGCTCACCCTTAAACAGCCTACAC